AAATGGAATATATTTCACATATATTTTTCATGATTCAGAAAATTCCACCTATTTAACCAGAATTCAATCAAATTCAGCAAAATAAGTTAATTCTATTTACTTTAGTATTATCAAACAGACTTTATATTAGACTAAGTTTATTTTTCTTTTAAATCACATTATATGTGATCCGATAGAAATAAATTTCAATTTAGCTAAATTACATACTTCCTGTGCATCGCATGGGCCTGAAAGCTAGTGTACAATATAGATGGACATTCTCCCAATGCAAACTCGAAACCCCTGAACATTAAACTAAACTCCCTATACACTAGCAAAAGCATGCAAACATCTTGCAAAGCACCAACTCTAAAACCTTCCTAACCTACCTTAAAAGCCAAACAAAGTCAAAGAGCCAAAAGTTGTCAAAAGTGACCTTAAAGTGTAAATATGTTCTTAGTTCTATAACTTTTGCACGGGTAGCTCATTTGGTTCAGTGGTGGGAAAGTTGGAACAATGACCAAGGTTCGAAACTCGTAGCGGTCGTGTGGAGGTTACAGCTCCTGCGTGTTGGGCTGAACCTCTAATGTGCACGGGTATAAAGCCTACCATCATTGGGCTGACTGAGTCACCGTGATTTACATTCTCCCAAAAATCATGTCGGGTCGGGATGTGAGGCCCTTGGGTTTGGAATTCAACCTTTTGGAACAACAATGTTCTTAGTTCTATAAGCTCCTCTCCAAAAAGTAGAGAGTTGCTAGCCTGCCAAATACATATTCATAATACCGTACGAAGTATGTAGTATAACATAATATTATCTCCGTTTCACTAATATTAGGACATGCATTGAAAATGGATTTTTATGATTGATATTGAATTGATAAAGTAAGAATAGTTTAGAATGATACAACTTTATCAAACTAAGTTTGAGATAATCTTAGTGATACAGACCGAAAAACAAAATATGAATAATTTTAACACATTAAGTAGTAATACTTCCGTTCTCTTTTAATTGTAACATTGGACTTTTTGCACTATTCATAAATTCTACTTTGACTATATTTTATTTATTGGTGTACTATAAATTAATTTTTTTAAAAAATATTCTTAAATTCTTCTTATTCTAAAATTTCAAAATCTGATTTTTTACAAAGGTTTTGTTACATTTTAAAATTTGAAACATGTTTTTTAATAGTTGATGATTCTTCTAATTAGAAGGTTAAATCGAAGGATACATAGCTTTTGTGTGGTTTTGAAGGGAAAAGGTATAAATATAAGCAGATTCAACCGTATTATTCCAATAGCCATTGCAAAATGGCCTTATCTATACATGATGATGGAGTATATAGCTCAGGAACTCCCGACCGGTCGACCCACATACTTTCACTACTACAAACAGGTCCAACAAGCCCAAGTGGTCCAAACACAACAAACAAGACTCCGGACAGCCCATACTACACAAGGTGTTGCCTTCGGTCACATGCCCGAAGGCTTCATATTCGGGAAAACAATTACACCTGGTCTAGAAACACAACCGGGAACCAAGGCTAAAATTACGAGCCTATTAGTAAAAGGAATGGAGGAATTATATTACTCCTTCCGTCCCGAAATTATCTTCATTCTTTCCTTTTCGGTCCGTCCCAAATTTATCTCCTCTTTCCTTTTTTGGCAAAGAATTTGTGATTCACAACCATTCTTACACATTTCTCTTTCCTCTGTATAACTCTCTAAATCTGGGAAGGAGGTAGTACTACGTACGATTGTACGAAGTATAATTTATACTTCCATTCAAGGCGAGTACATAACATTGGAATTTGAGTGACAATGAACCATTTATTATGGGCAACTTTCATCGTTAAGGTTTTTGTTGGATTAGGAGTCGAACAACTAGGCCGTTGTTGTTATTTGTTCCCTAGCCGCCGCCGCTAATAATTCAAAAGTGATGCTTCCCGACTGAGCAAATAGTCATTTGACTTACCAAACAAGTGAACAACAATCAACTTGGGTACGTAACGCACAGAGGTGTTAGGGTCATTCAATAGTGTTATTGATTTTTTGCTTTCTTTCATTCATATATGGTACTCCCTATTTGTTCAATTAAATACCAACATTCTCGTTTCATCAAATCGGTGGGCATAGCTCAACTGGTAGTGAGGAAGTGCCACAAGGGTTAGGTTTCGAGTTCGAATCCCGGCAATTGCGATGAGAGGTTACTATGCCAAAATGCATAGGACCTCTGCAAGTACCGGAGACAGAGCTCCACTCTCTATCTGTCAAATTGGGATTATAGTCCAATTTACATACTCCCAACGTACCGTCCGATCGGGGTTGAGGGCCCCTCAGGGATGAGGTGTCATCCTTTCTAGTTTCATCAATTCACAAAATGTTTGACATTAGTGTTATTGATATTACCAAATTTCCTAATTTTCTAATAATCATCTCATTTGACTTTTCCAAGATTAAGATTTTATTACTACCTCCGTCCCTTAAAACTTTTCCAAAGTTGACCGGCACGGAGAATAATAAAGTTAAAACTGTGTGGTTGAGTTTTGTGTAGAAGAGAGAAATCACAAAATAATTGATTAAAATAGAAAGTGGCAAAGTTTTTTGGGACGTCCCAAAAAGGAAAGATGATTTATGACCTTTCACAGCATTTTTTATAGAGTATCACATTCACAATCTAATTTAGCAATTTGACACACACTGTTCTAAAAGTTGGTCTAGTCAGACAGATTAATAGGCGTCTAGGTGCTACTCGACACCTAACTGTAGAGGACTAATCGATGTAGTCAGCCAAAAAAATGGCTTAGTCTTCTGCCTAATCGGTGTATAGGCGCTAGATGCCCCTCAATCGTCCGATTAGTGCCTAGCGAGTTTTAAAACAATGAACACACATAACATAAAAAATTAAAATGGTGTAATTGACTTCAAAGCTAAGAACGACATCTTGCCGATGGGTATAGCTCAATCGGCAAATAGGAAGTGTAACAACTGGTAAGTCTTATGTTTTAATCCTGGCAATTATGATGATCGATAGGTTATTATGCAAAAATGCATAATCTCTGCAAGTATCTAGGTCAGAGTCTCACTTGTTATATGTCAGCTTGTGATTAAAGTTTTACTTACACCCTTCAGTTTACTGTCCGATCGCTACTGAGAGGATCTCAAGGATGGATGTCATCCTTTTTAAAACGATGTAATTTAGGCATATGTGGATGGTAGAAACCAACAAAAATTAGCTAGATTAGAAAGAGTGTCACCATATTTATTGAATGAAAAAAGTTGACAAACTTAACGTCACATTATATAATGACTTGTGCCAGGTGTACACTTTTTTGTGTACACCTTTCGTACACTCATGACTCGTCTGTGTCACGCACACAAAGTTGTTTATACACAGACGACTCTGCAGGACCCTACAGAATTGTCTGTGTACTGACAATTCTGTATGCGTGAGACAGATGATTCTACGAAAAGTGTACACCAAAAAGTGTACACCAAGCATTTTTCTTTATCATAAAATGATGTTAACCTTATTAGAATGTAGATTCTATATATAAGAGAGTACAAAGTTTATTGATTTTTAATAATTGATTATTAAAAGTATTCATCGTCAAGTTATTAGCAAAGGGATATACATACAAGATTATATTATAATCCCTTGTTCCAAAAAATTGATCAAAATTGATATGCATTTACAATAATAATACTCCCTCCGTTCCTCTATTATTGTCCCATTTCCTATTCACTTGATCAACACAAATCACTCTTAATCTCTTACTTTATGTATCAAATTTTTATCAAATTTGATTCTGGTTTTTGCGACTTTGTAAATCTTTTAATGTAGTTTCTGAATATGTATTTTTTTTCCCTAAAAATAATTTGAGTGCGGACATGGATCTGTTTGCTTTATCGTCGATCAAGCATCGTAAACCGCAATGAGACAATAACAGAGGGACGGAGGGAGTAATAGTAAAATAAAAACAATGTAGTCGTAATTTATATGAAAGAGGAGAAATAATTTTGAACACATAAGAGTTCTGTTTGTCCTAATGTGACAATTAAATAAGAAAAATTGACCAATTTTTGAGAAACTAAAACAATACTTGTTGGGATTAATTATCAAAATAGGACAAATAGTCAATCACTTTGCATAAATAGGACCAAAAAATAAACTATGTTTTCATAGGACTAATTATGTGTGTCTTGGACAAATATACCCTTATAGCTATTGAAATGTTTTAATTCATAATAAAATAATAAAAAATACTACGTAATAAAAATTCTTAAAAAATACTAAAAAATTAATAAAAATATTTTGATAATAATAATTTATTTATTTATGTATTTTCAAAAAAATAAAATAAAATTAAAAATAATAAAAAACTCAAAAAAGAAAAATAAAATTCACCTCCGCCTCTGCACCACCACCTCCATTCACTAGGGGAAAAATGCAGAAAACAATGAAAAGGTTGACATTCTCAAAGAGAAATATGTCACATTTTTGACATTTTCAGAAAAAATGGCAATTTTTAGGAAAAATGAAAAATTTTCACCGACCAGAGATGGTGGTGCAAGGAGGTAGTAGAGGCGGTGGAAAAGGCATCCATATTTTTTAATTTTTTTAATGGAGTTTTACTATTTTTTTATTAATTTTCAAAAAAAAACATTATTTGTTTTTTTAAAAAAAATATTTTATAAATATTTTATAAATTTTTTATTTATTTTTCTATGAATTTTTGAATTTTTTTCAAATTTATTGTGAATTAAACATTTAATTAACTCATATTTAAAGGAAAGGTAAGAATGGAATGAAAAAATAGATATGTTTCCAATATGACTAATATGGTTCTATTATGAAAAGAAGAACATAATACGGAGCAAGTCTTATTTTGATTTTTTTCCCATAGCTTTAGTCCCATAATACGGAGCAAGTCTTAATACTGAGCAAGTCTTATCGAGAAAGCCAATATCTAAATGGGAAACATGAAGTAAAAATTAATGAACAAGACATGAAGTAATACAACATGCAAATATGTGACGCACCAAGAGAAACTTTAGAGGTTTAATGATAACAGTTAAAGACAAAACTCCGATTAGCGAGAGGAGTTACTCTAAAGATACAACAATTCCGAGAGGTTTAAGATTTACAAGCCCTAAATTAACATTTGAAGTTTGAACCATTACTAAATAACCTATGAAGAAAGACTGTTGATCGGATGATGTTAAGCAGACCCGACTGATTGACCTTCGAACACTTCAAGTTTATTTCATAATATTTCCGTGGGCAGAAATTGCAAGATCCGGAAACCCGAAAGAATCGCCACCAATCTCTCCGCCGCCGAGCTGCTGCCAAGTACCACCACCCAACACGGTTGCCGCTCCGCCCTCCGCAACTCCCGGAAAGGGCCACATCGCTCTCCCGATCCCATACCCAACTTCCTCCATCCCCGGCCCAACTCCAAACCCACCCAGCCCCAAAAGCCCACCAGGCCCATGCGTGTTCAGCAACGACGTGAAGCTCCCGCACAAGTTCAGCATCGGTGGGCCCTGCTCGATCCCCTGCATCGGGAAGAGGAACGGTCCCGGAGCGGCGGAGGTGGTGTGGATGCGGCGGAAGTCGTGGGCGCCGCTGGAGGAGAAGGAGTGAGCTCCGGCAATCGCGGAACTCGAACACGGAACGGTGCGGGAGCGTTTCGCGTTCTTCCGGCTTCCCCCGCCGACGGGGATGTCGCGGAGGGTGCCGCCGTGGGTCCAGTAGCGGCGGCACGCCTTGCAGAAGTGGCGGGGCTGGGAGAAGTTGTAGTTGTTGTAGTAGCAGAACTTGGTGTTGGTGGAGTTACAGCGCGGGCACCGGAGATGCTCTGGCTCCGGCGGCGGCGGGGCGCCCACTTGCTGAAGCTTCCCAGGTCGCCGTTGATCGCTGGTATCCGAGGGCATTTTTTTTCTTTTCCGGCAGCGGAGAAACGGGAATTCGATGTTTGGGAGGAGATAGAACAGAATCAAAGACCAGATATATAGGAAGAATCCAAGAAATGGTGGTGGGGTTTAGGGGAACACACAGAGAGAGTGAGGCAGAGAGATGGGGTTTATAAGGATTCGAAGTACAAGTTCTGGGGGAAATCGAGAGAGAGAGAAAGATTGTCTGTAGTGTTTCGTGAAACAGTTTCTGATTGTGTGAAGAGGGTTTATGGGTGAGAGAATATGGATAGCAGCTTTTGCTTTTGCAGGATTTGGTGTTTAGCACGCGGATGGGGGAGAAGATGAGACAGAAGACGGAGGTGCTTGGTTTTTTCAGACGGCTCGAAACACTGTGGACTATGTTTGTTTGTTTGGGTCGGCTCCTATTTGGTTTTGGTTTGGTGGGGCTCTGCCTCACTCCCTAGCTACTCCTTCACATGAATTATAGAGTGGTGGAGAATTTTGAGGAAGATTTTGGAATAATATTCTCGTAATTGATTGTGTTTGAAAGTATTCTTTAAGGGTTTGATATCTCATTTTTTGTTCCGAATGGAGGATGGGACTCTGGGTTTCATTTGCTTTGAAAATTGAAATTCGTTGTCATTCTCATTCCTCATATAACCAAACATATCCTTAAAGTTCATCTGGTGATATTACGGAGTATCTTGTTAAACATGTTGGTTTTGTTACATTTTAAAATTTGAAACATGTTTTTTAATAAGGGAAAATGGCTGTAGATAGGAGTAAAAAAGACTAAATGCACAAGTAGGACTACTTTTGTTTTAAAATCTAAATAGGACTAAATTTTCATTTTGTTCCAATATTACCCCTTCATTTAATTCAACCGTGCAGCACCCCCACCGGCCCATCCCTATATGTTTTTTGCTCAAACATGCGCAAGTCTGCAACAGTGGGCGACTTCGACGAACAAAGGCAAGCAACGGTCAGCGACGACGAGCAACAACAAGCGGCGGCGAGTGTGAAGACACGGTGACGAGCGGCAACAAGTGGCGAGTGGTGAAGGAGCGGCGGCGAGCGTTGAGCAATGGCCGGCGACGAGCTCAAGTTCAGATCTATTTTAGAATTCAGGCTCGTTGTTCCCCTGTCTTGCTTCTTCTTCGTCTTACTCAATCGCTCCTCTGTACTCTTCAAAAATGTCCATCTTCAAAGTGCACTCCTTTTGTTTCACCTTTTCGTCACACGACCAAAGCTCTGTTTTATTTTTTGTGGTTAAAAAATTTCTACTTTATTTTGCAATGCCATAAAAGTGGCATTTTACTCTTCAAAAATTTCATGTGTTTCCTTTGAAAATGTCATTTAGATGGCATTCTCAACTCACGATGGCAATCTAATAAAATTTTTGGCATAAGGTCGAATCTGCAACGGTGGACGCTGGTTATGCAACAGCGGAGGCCGGATCTGCAGCGACGGAGGCCGGATCTGCATCGACGGAGGCCAAATCTGTAGGGACAGCGACCGGGGGAAAGAGGCGGCTAGATCTGGCCAGATCTACGGCAGCGGCAGACAGATCTACGGTGACAACGGCCGAATCTGTAGCGGTGACCGGTTCTGCGGAGGCGGCAGCCAAAAACTGGCGCGGAGGGCGGAAATCGGCGGTCGGAAGGCAGTCCGAGCTTCTGTTTGCAGCAGATGGTTTTGCTAAGTTGGGGGGCATTTCTGTGTGGATACAAATAATAACTCATATTTGGGGAAATTTTAAAATGTACTCCTCTTTTAGCAATTGATGATTTATTTACTCCCATTTAGGTAAATCCCTCTTTTAATAATTGTTGATTCTTCTAATTAGCAGGTTAAATGGAAGGATGCATAGCTTTTGTGTGGTTTTGAAGGCAAAAGGTACAAAAATAAGCAGATTCAACCATATTACTCCAATAGCTACTGCCAAATGGCATTATCTATACATAACATAACATGTTTTCTTTTGAATTGAAACTTACTGATCTGATTTGGTCTGATTTACTGGGATTGAAAATAGTCCCAAGAAAACATTCGTAGTACTCAATATTTATATATATATATATATATAGAGAGAGAGAGAGAGAGTGATGTTCCGATAAGGCCTTCCTCACCGGAATCGCCGTCTGGCCGACGGCTTTTGGGGCCATTCCCAATAGATTTTTTTGATGAAATTGTTATAGCATGTTCTTCATAAAGTCTAATTTATCCACACAAAAAATAAGCTAAAAACTCAATCCGGAATGTCGTCAAATGATTTTTTGAAGTTAACTGCGCAAAAAGTACATATAAAACGCAGTTAACTTCCAAAAATCATTTGACAACCTTCCGGAATGAGTTTTTAGCTGAATTTTTTGTGGATATACTAGACTTGATGAATAACATGCCATAAAAATTTCATCGAAAAAGTCACCCAGAAGGGCCCCAAAAGCCGCGACCGGACGTCGGTTCTGGTCCGAAATTCCGGACCTGAACATTTCTCTCTCTCTCTCTCTCTCTCTCTCTCTATATATATATATATATATATATATATATATATATATATATATATATATATGGAAATGAACTCTGTTTTTTTATTTTATGATGGAGGTCTTCAACGACTAGGATAGTGTTTACAATTGCTTCTACTTCAAAAGTGATTTTTAAGTGGTTTTGGAGAAAGTGCTTTATAGTAAAAATTGTTATGTTTCATAAAAGAGAAATTGTTGTAAATAGGAGTACAACATATCATATATACTCATATAGGACTCCAACTTTTTTAATTCCTATATAAGACTAAATTTTCCATCCGTTCCAAAATTGCCCCTAATATCCCCTGGATGATTTCCCTTTCTCTTATCCTCCCTCTTCCGGACAAAATCACCCGCACACTTCAGCCAAACCTTTTGCCGAAGAACGCACGCAGCACAGAAATTAAGCTTAATGAGATAAGGTGGGGAAGAGGGGCTGTCATGCAGAGCCAGCAATCGCGGCGACGGCGAGCGCGGCGTAAGCGAGCGCGGTAGTAGCGGCAGTCTCGACTCTCGAGCCGCGCGGCAGTCCTTTCTCAACGGCGGCGACGGTGAGCGGTCCGGCGGTTCAGCGGTGCGGCGATGCAGCGGTATGGCGGGAGGCCCTGATGCATTATCTCTTCTCCTCTTCTTCTCTTTTTCTTCTCTTTTAGATCTCGAAATGTCTTGTTCTCTTTTAGATATGGCATCTAGGAATGCCAACTTTGCCTACGTTTCTTCCCGTTTTCTTCACTTTTTTATTCTCTTAGTCAGTTAGTCTTTTTCAGTTAGTCTTCAACATTGTCACACTATTCAATAGTGCTCTGTACATACAAACAAACCGAAAGCAAAGAAATAAGGAATGTATTTTATTGTCATTGACATTCTTATGACATTGTCATTGACATTCTTATGACATTATTATTAACATTCTTATGACATTGTCATTGACATTCTTATGACATTGTTATTGTCATTCTTATGACATTGTCATTGACATTGTTTTTTATTGACATTCTTATGACATTGTCATTGACATTTTATGACATTGTCATTAACTTCTTATGATATTATCATTGACTTCTTATCAATGAAGGAGAGGAGGAGATAATGTCATTGACTTCTTATGACATTGTCATTCTGGCCACTCTTCTTGCCAACAGGCCATCAAGGACTTACTTCTTTCATAGGAATCATAGCCAAATGCTGAGATATAGTAGGATCATACTATAATGGATAGAAATAAATCCTCCGTACCTTGAATCTTAATCTGCCAAATACATAAAATAGTTTTTCCCTAGGGAGGCGGGAGTGCTTAAGACTGGGAAAGGAAAGATGTGCAATAGAGTGCGGCGACGCGAAGCTGTGGAGGCGGCGCGAAGCGGCGTCGACGACTCAGCGGTGAGGTAATGCAACAATGATGATATTCAGTTGCGGCGAAGTCCAAGGTTGGAGGTCGGTCGGTTGTATTCTATTAAAACAAGCAGGGGCCACAAAATTGATGATGAAGATGGCATAAGGTTATTTTTGTCCTTGCACGTATAGAGTAGTCCTATGTACGGTTTAAAAAACTCCGGGTCCTATTTAAAGTTCAGCTCTATGTTTTATTCTTATTTATGTCTTAATCCCTTCATAAAATAACTATCTTTTAATTTGTGTAATATAAAAAGGTAAAAAGTAATTTAAAGCACCTCTTCATCTGTTTAAAATTTTTAAATTGTTATTCGAAAACACTAATTTTAGTTTTTTAAAGTTAAAAGTACTTTTTTTTTAATTTATTTCAAACACTCCAAAATCTTGTGAGTGCAAAATCCCTCAAACTAAGAAAAATACTCCGTATCTTTAATTCGTTCACTTGCTCCGGTAATTTGACAACGCACAATCTTCGATCTAGTTCAAAACTATAATTCATGCATGGTTCAATCATTTTGGAGTGTTATGTGTATTTTATTTGTCCCAGTGAACAGTGAAATTGAATTATTCATGAAATTAAATAATTATCCAAACATTACTTATGGAGCTCTTGTGGCAAACTGCAAAGACTACTTTAATTTCTAAGTTGGACAAAAAAGTAATAATCGAAAATGAAATAAAACAACTCAACTACCCATATACTCCTTCCGTTTCCAAAAGATCTTGACACTTTGATTTCACAATTTTTAAACAAATAAATTTGACTTTACTGTAGAGTACATTGTTTGACACTGTTTGGTACTGTTTGACACTGTTTGACACTGTTTTGTGTAGATTTATTTGTCAAATAAGGAAAATAACGAAGTGTAAAGATAATAGTGATACTGATAAAAATGAAAAATGTAAAGACTTTCAGAATCGGAGGGAATATATAAAACATTATCATGAACCACATGAATATGAGTCTGAGACACTGATAATTTGAAACGGCGGCGACGGTAAAGGATTTGCAGTTCAAAAGTGTTGGTAGGCTTGTGCTCTAGCAATGACAAGGGTGTCTTCATTGTTGAACACGTGAAAACACCGGCAAACAGCAATTTGAATGGGAATGGCTCAAGTTAAGACTAAAACATTAACTTATTTAAAAAATAGGAACATGTGTTTGGTGTTTAATCGTCCTAAACTAGATTCACACTCGTGTGATCTATGGGTAGTTTTAAAATAAATAGAATCCATAAACATACTAAAATAAAATAAAAGATATTGCATATCAAAAGATAAAAAATTTTGGAAGAATCAAAGCATATCTTCAACTATTTATGAAAAATATAGATAATATAACTTAGGGTACATACCAAATATTATGAAATGGAGTAATACATATAAAGAAATGAAATATAAATTCTACAAAATACTTATTATTGTACTAAAAGTTAAATTGTGTAGGAAAATAGAAGGCTACTGAAATGTGAATACTCATTTTAAAACAACACTCACGATGTTATTCTCTAATTTTCTCATTCTTCAAGAGATCGTCTCTGCTATGTTCATACATTTAACGCAACATGCTCATCTCAATCACCTTTATCTTTTGAATGTCACATTGTTTCATCGCCTAATACTCTACATCATACAATATTGCAGATTTAATTATTGTCGGATACTATTCAAAAGTTACAATATTAAAACTATAAATTTATTCTTGATTTTGAAACCACAATAGTTTCAATTTAAACGTAAAGGAAAAATTTGTTTTTGGATGTCTTTGTAATGAAAATTGATCAAGTTTAATGGAATAAAGGGAGGAACAAACAAAAAAAAACATAAAGGACACTTATGTTTCACGTTTTAAAACATTTTTACGCTTTGCTTCAGTTTTATGTTATCCACACTTTATAATTTCAAAATAAGGATGTTTTTAATTAGACTAAAATTCTTTGGTCTGATCAAGTCTAATTTGATATAGTTTGATTTGTACTCAGTGGTTTGATCTATACTGGCCTGATCTGTAGTGATTCGACCTGGTCTTATCTATTTTGTTCTGACACGAAAAACAATCTAAATACAAATATCCTATTTTTTAGGTGAATCATTTTCAAAATTTAAATATTCAATACGCCCATTTCAACTCATTCGAATTTCCAATAATCATAATTGTTGGTGAATCGCGTGGGTTATAAATTTTTGAATGATAAGATAAGTAATAATCTAAATAATCTTTTTTAAATTTATGTCATACCATACTTTAACCGTTTAACGGTATCCTCATTATATAAAATTTCCAAAATTACATGTGATGGAGTATATGGCCCGGGAACCCCCGGCCCACAGACTCCTACTACTCCAATAAAGGCCCAATAGGCCCAGGAAGCACAAAATGCCCAAATCACGGCGCCCAGAGTACCAAGCAGCTCACAATGCACATCAGGGGTGCCTTCGGCCCCCTGGCCGAAGGCTCTGAATCTCACAGAAGGGTCAAAACAGGAAGACAAGGTTACTGGGAGAAAACGGCGAAAATCAGTAGCCCTCGGCACTAAGGGGGTCCCCGTCACTCAGAGCCCTCGGCTAATCATCTACAACCGAGGGCACCTTTCCGACATAATATCCGCTCCACATGCGCGTAGATCACCATACCAAGTACGACGTCACATCCAACAGCCGCATTAAATGCGGCCATATGCGATTGCCAGCGCCAACCAGTTGAGGTGACCCCTCGGCCAATGGACGCTTGACACGTGTTCCCATCTGGCATTTATTGCTACTATAAATAGCACCCCATTTCCCCGTTGTAAACCACACTGAAAACGCTGAATACACTTTCTAATATATTCTCTCTCTCTACTTACTTGCTCTGACTTCTCTCTAGTTATTTCTCGTAATAACCTCTCGGATAAGCTACCCCCGGATACACTATCCATCATGTGGTGCTTTCATTGAGAGGTCGAACAATCAAGTAAGAAACCCTCCCCCTCGACCAAATACAAAACACCTAGCTAAAATGGTAAGAACAACTCGTGCCAACTCCAAGAATGTCGACGACAGGAACCTGGCCCTCGGCGAGGTCGACGTCCCCGAAGCCTCTAACAAGGCTCCCGGGGGCGGCGTCATCGCCGGGTTGGACCAGACGGCTGTCGACCTACGCCATCAAATTCAACAGAACGCCCCCGATGCCCGCCTCGGCATCGAGGCCAAGAAGAAGGACCGGAGCGAGAATCAAATTAGCCCTCCGGTCATCACAATCGACGTACAATCGGCGCTCTCCGCCTTCATCCAGACGCTCACCCAGAACCCGGGTGCCTTCGGCACTTTGGTTCCCCTCCAACCTCAGGTCGGGGAGAATATTATGCCTCCCCTCATCCACACCCCCTCGGGAACCCGGTCCTCCGGATTGGGAACTCCGAGGGGGTCGTGGCCCAAGATACGGCCTCCCAGGAAGTCCAGTCCCGAGACCACCATAACGTGAACAAAGAACAACTCCGGACCTCTGCCCTCGAGAGACTCGGAGGGGCGCAAGACCGCCGAGGGGTCCAAGACCGCCTCGGGGGAAAGGCGTTCCTGAGGCCTCAGGAAAGTGGCGGGTCCATCTCCAGGGCCAATGAAAGGCGTCCCCCTCAGGACAAAGGCAAGGCACCTATCCATGCCAACGACACCCGCCACCAAATCAACCAGGCCCACTCGGCCCGCGTCCATTCGCAGGGGGCGGAGGCCCTCCCGAAGGACCCCCGGGACGAAATCATTGCGGCCCTCCAGCGCCGGCTCGACGGGATGGAGGCCACCAAAGCAAGACCGTTTCCCCGGCAACGACACCAAAAACTTGACCGGGCTAAACTTTCAAGTGTACAAGTGCCGATATAGTAATGAATTCAAGTAAAATATCGGGTTGAATCCACAAGGAAACATTGTTTAATTTAGTCTGTGAGTAGATAACTTTGAATGAAGAAATGAGTAAAGTGCAGGGATTTTGATTTGTGTGTTATATTTTTGGGTTTTCACTTCTTGTTCAAGAAGATAATCGTTAACTAATTTTGAGTTTAAGATGAATAATAACAACAATTAAGGCTTCGGGAATCACTTAAATGCTTTAATAGGGTTGAATATTAGTTCTTTGCTAATAATTATGAATACGGTGTCGCTAATATATTCTCAACTCCGGTTAAGGCAGTGAGAGCGTGGTTTTCGTTATGTGTAAGTACCGTTACGACTTACATTCATCTACCGAAAACCCTGTTGAATATCAAGACATCACACCCGTATCATATAAGACCGGATATATTTCTATTCTCGGTACTATATATGTTTATCCTTTAATGTTCATAGTTTAGACTTCAACGTTAATTGCAAGTATAAACTAAATTTAACATACTTCTATGTTGTAGACCATAGTCATAAACAATCAATATATAAAGGATAAATCACAATTTATTGGTTTAGAACTTTTATCAAACACCTAATGTGCATAGAAGTTCATCCCTAGCCTTAGCTAAGAATTTAGCCTCTAATACTCATATTAATCACAATACAATAATAAATGTAAAGGAACATGAAATTTGATGGTCCCGGATAGGGTAAAAGTCTAGAGGGGGGGGGGGGGGTGAATAGACTTTTAAATCTTTTTCGACTTTTGAAAGTTTTCCCTCTAAAAGAGTTAATCTATAAACTTTTGAGAGTTTTATAGATGCACAGCGGAAGTCTTTACCCTTTGAGTAATGAGTGTTTAGCCACTTTCTAACTTGGAGAGTGTTTGGCTTAGAATGCTAGCAGTTGGCTTAGCAGGTGGCTAAGAGCAGGGAACTGCTGAGGCAACTGCTCAAGAAATGCAGAGTGTATGATGGAGGTAGAGATAGTTGGTTGATGAGTATGGTGTGACCTTTCGGTAAGTATGCTTAAATGAGGGGAGACTAGCTTTTTGCTGAAGTAGTGGACTCGGCAGTTGGGTGAATATGAGGGAACTGTCGAGGCACCTGCTCGGGTCAAAAGCTTATTGGGTTAAGCAAACTTCTTGATGAGGTATTGACAATCTGGTGATGTTTGAGACAGTGACATGAAACAAGTATATATGAGCAGAGGGCTCAGCAGTTGGGTGGATTCCAGGGAACTGCTGAGGCACCTGCTGCACTTAGAAAATGAATTTCAGAGAACTGAAAGAGTGATACTTTTAGATGTTGTTGGTGCACGTTATAGGTGTGAATCCGGTCTCAAAGAAAGTGAGTAATTAAGCAGTAGGATAAACAGTTGGGTCAATTAAGACAACTGCTTAGGATTCTGCCGGCAGACTACAATCTTTATGTGAGAAGTGTTTGGTGTGTGCTTTGTTGACTGAAATGAATTCAACACACGATATATCCTGGTTCAGAGGTAGTGTAATCCTCCTACGTCCAATCCCACCCTCTTTCAGATGGATTTCACTAAAGTATTAAGCCCAATACACTTAGTGCCAATCTAGCCTTTACAACACTTAGGCCTAGATTGAAGGTTTTTCACGATGAGTATAGCACCACTCAAAGTTACTCAGTCCTTAGACTTTTCTCTAATGAACCAGTGGGGATCAAAAGGTACTCTATCTATCTACTTACACTGTAGGATCCGAACAACTGTTCTCCTAAGTGTTTACAACAATATGTGATTTGTTTCAAGAAAGTTCCAACCTCCAACTAGGAACTAAACTTCTATGATTTAGCAATGAAAAGCTTTGTGAACTGGAAGTTTAGTGAAGCATGAGTCCAAGTAGAGAGTAAAGTTTAGAATAGCACTTTCTCTTTTGCTAGATATCTCATAAATGCTCGTGATAGAAATTCTCTCTTTGGATGCTCAAACGCTTGGTTAGAAACTTTCGTTTCAGCCTATATTTATAGGCATCTCCTTTGAATTAATCTCATCCGTTGGTTAGGATGGATTAATCTCTGACGTTGAAACTCTGGCAAGGACAAATTGTACATTTGTCTTCTTGTGATGGAGCTTTAATTCGGGCTCATCTCCTTGTCTCGTATTATTTAGCCGCTGGAACTTCACTTCAAACTGCAGTCCCATGTGTATGTACATGACTCCGGACCCAATACGTATTTGGCATTAAATGCCGGTCAATGCTTTGTCTCTAATCATTCACTTGATACTTCCAGTTTCTTTTATCTAAAGTGTGACATACGAATAATCTTTGAGTCAAATAGTATTTGCCGGTAGAATTTAAATATCCTTTTAAGGTAAGTAAAATTTACCTTATTGCATTTTTACTTTTCCGGTGATATTTCTTAGACTCAAAAGTTGTACAATTAATTTATCACGTAAATACTAGAACAAAATGAGACACAATGTACACGTGCTGAGTATAGTGGCATCATCAAAATCTTATCAAAATTGGGTACTAACAATTTCTCCCTTTTTGATGATGCCAAAACTATACAACACAAGTAACAAACATTTTTATGGATTTTCTTTAAAGTTTTGTACATTGTTCTACTTTCTAGAGTACAACTTTAAGATCTAGCCTACTCTTGCTTGTCTTCTTCTTGTTTCTTTTTGGGTTCTTCTTTGGCTTTGGCCTCTTCTGCTTTTCTTCTTCTGATTTCTGCTTCTTCCTTGTAGAGCTTGTTCTTCTTCCTGGTTTCCGCTGTTTTCTTGGCTGCTAGAGACCTTGTAGATGAGGGGCCTGCTTGTGTTGTGTTTCCCCCCTTTTTGGCAGCAGCAGGGGTCTGACTTTCTTTGAATAGTGCTTCGATCTCTGGGTCAGAGTCAACCTCAATTTGTCTTGTTCTTCTTGGATAGAGGTCGTTGACTTCAATGGCAAAGGAAGTGACCAAGTTTCGAAGATCAGTGACATCTACCTTGACTTCTTCTTTGATTTCCTGGTCAAGCTTGTGAAGTTGTTGAGTTGTTGCTTGTTGGTGTAAGCCCAGTGTCTTGAGTTCATCTCCTTGCTTTTGAAGAGCTTCTTGAGTAGCTGCGTTGTAACACCCCCATTTTTCCCACCCAAATAAAATCACATTTTTAAATGAAACCATCTTTATTATTAAACATATTTAGAATACAGCGGAAGTCTTTAAGGGAAAAACAGGTGCATCACCGCCACACTCAACCTATACATGATTGAGTGCACAGACTATCCACCATAAGTTCAAATAACAATGAAATGGGTCTTAGGACAAAGTTTATGAATTACAAATTTAAACAATGATAATTAATCAAACGTGTGCAACTAGCGGAACACTCGGGCAGCAAGTACATCAATCTTCATAATCATAATCATCTGTACAATAGAGCAAAGAGAAGAAGACAAAAGAGACAAAAATTAGCTTTAGAGACAAGTAAGATTCCACCCGAACCCGTAAAATAATATAATTTGGAAAATAGGTTTGGTATAGGTATATATATAGAAAATACCCTCTCATATCTCCAAAATAACTTCATGTCTCAAAATAATTTCTTCAATAGATAATGTCATTCCTCAATTCCTCCAAAAGTAATACTTTAGATTTCTTTTAAGAGTGGGCGAAACTCAAGATTCCTCGAGCCCAACGAGTCGTTGTTATTTACGACTCATCCCGGAATTCCGGCTCCCACCGACCACCAATTTGGAAGCTGAATTTCTACCTTAAGTGTGCACACCCTCTAAAAGGGATTCCAAGCCCTCCGAGTAGTAAGAAACTCAAGTAGGCAGGATGTTTTCTACCACCTACTCACAAGGGACATTGTCCAAGGGTAAATTAGGTAACTACTACTACAACCATCAAAGGACCTTTGGTCCTCAAATAAAAGCCCGAGATGTCTACCGGAGCATGTCATTGTCGGACTGGTTACCGACCCAAATAAATTTCACCAAAAGTAGTAGTAGTCCTAATCACCCACGCCTCGTGTTTCTCTCGAGACGTAAAAATATATTATGAAAAACTTTAAGTTTTTCCCAAAGTCATTTTTGTCACACTTTCCAAAAATATACTTTGTAATAAATATCAATCCACCAATATTCTTTAATAAAAAGAATATACATTTAATAATCCATAATAGATAATAATCCACCAATATCCATACATTCAAAATATTCATTCCATGTCAAACAAATAGTTTCCAATTCATAAATAGTCCACATAGTTCAAATATTGCATATACATATAAATACGAGATAAAACATTTTTGGTTGACATAGAACTTACCTTAAATTGTGATAATCCTCTTAATAAAATCTCTAGCTTGGTCTTCACTTGAATTCTCCTTCTAATATATATCAAAATTCGAAATCAATAACTATTCTATTATTTTTGTTATTTCCTATCTATTCAACCTTTAGTTATTTTAACTTCATTATTCCTTCTATAAATACAACTTTTAAGTTCGATCCATAAATCTTATTTAAATGTTAATTTTCAGTCCAACCTTATTATTTTCTTTAATCATACTAATCCCTTCATAATTTACTTTAATTTATTTGATTAATTAGTTAACTAGTCTAATTATATTAACTACATAATAATTTAGTTATTTCAAATTTAAATAATCAATTTAGTTGAAAATTCAGTTTACATAATTTATAATTTATTTAATTATCTAATCTCAATAATAATAATCTAATCTCAATAACAACTTTAATTAGTTCAATAGTTTATTTATACTAACTAACCCAATTAAATTAATTAATTCAATCCTCCAGTTTTATTTATTTGATTCACTAATTTAATTGAACTAACTAAATCAAATAAATAAGTTTAATTATATCAATATAGCTAAATACATTAATCTAATTCAATTAAGGTCAATAATCAAATTCTAATTCCGTTTTAATTTTCTATTTTTAATATAAAGTCCAAAAATATTACTAAGTCCATAATTTAACTAATTTATCCATTAAACTAATTGATTTAGTTAAACTAGTCCAATGAAGTCAATTAACTTAATTATTAAGTACACATTACTTAATTAATTTGTTTATATTAATCAACTAAGTTTTATGAGTTCAAATAGTTTAATAATTTATATGGAGTCCAAATCAATAATAATCAAGGATAATAATTATTAATTTAATCACACTAATTTAATTAGTCCACTAATTCATTAATTTATTTATTAAGTCCAAATATAGTCATTCATTTACGCTAGCTATCCCAACATTTTTTTTCCTTATTTTATTCCAAACCTCATTTTAGTCCAGAATATTGTTTCCAATCTTAGTGAGTTTATTTATTTCACCATTATTATTCAAATTTTCTTATTTAATTACTTAACTAGTTTTATATGGCCCAATTAAGTTAAATAGCTTAAGAATCGAATTTATAAATTTATAACCGTCCATAACTATATTTTGGGTCTATATTTGACCTAGGTTGTCCAGATATTTATTTTAGAATTATTTCCCTTATTTATTCATTTAATTTCATATATCTATTAACCGGTTTAATCACAATTAAATATACTACTCATAATTTTTATTAAATATAAATGGTCCCACATGTCCTAGTTAGTCATATATTTAATCTAGTTTACTCCAATAATTATTTCATAATTTATTTCGTTCTTTAGTTAATTATTTACTAAATATGTACAAACTGGCCCAATTACAATTAAATCAATTAAAAATAGTTAAAAATATTATTTTTCAATTCTGGTTGGTCCGAATATGTATATTTATACTAGGTATTTAATTTATATTTTTTAAGAATTTATTTATTTCATTTACTATTTTATTTTTAATTTTTATTGAAAATGGACCGAACTGGCCCATTAAACAGACCCGGCCCAAGAAGACTGGGTTGTCTTCCTCCCCATTCTTCTCCAGGTCGTTATTCCGGCGACCGGAAAATTAAGGAAACTTCGGCGAGCTATAACTTGACTTAGAGGTAACGGATTTTGACGATTCAAATTGCAAAATGATCCTGACGGCGAGACGAAGCTCCTCCACCTCTATCTACGGCCAAATGTCTGCTTTTGCTGAAGACCCGTTTGCACGGCTTGACACTCCGGCGACGTCTAAGCAACTCCGGTGACTACGAATCGGTCTGTAATTTATTGGGAAGTATTCCTAGACCTCTCACGACCCTCCTCTATCGTTTTTACGAAGTTTGATACGTAAAATAATATAGATATAAATGTTCCGGCGAGATTATGTATATATATGTATATGTATATATATATAGCTTCTATCTCTCCGATTTGCAGTGGGATGGCTAAGAGGGTGTATTTATAGGTCTAGATGATCCTTATGGTTTATTTTATTTATTTGATAATCGTATGAATAATAATAATAATAGTAATAATAATAATAATAATAATAATGTATATGATAGGTTGGTAGTTGATGAACATGGCATGTGTATTGATTCATGATTTGATTCCCATTTATGCTGATGTTTAATTTTATTTTATTTTATTTTATTTTAATTATTACATATAAATATATATAATTATATATGTAAAAATATGTACATAATGTATATACATTATTTGGTAGGTGATCCTAGCATGTGTCATTGTTTTATGATCTGATATTTTCATTTATTATTTTGATGCTATTATTAGTAATTTTTAATATTCTTACTATTTTTATTTATTTATTTATTTATTCCAGCATCTATATTTTATCTGATTTATTTCTATTTTATTTTTACTTTATTTTTTTGATGCCACATAAGTGTTTAATTTTATTGTATGTAGCATGCATATATTTTTATACACCAAGTATAATACAAAATATTTTTATATTACTTTCATTTGATTTATCAGATATAACTTATCTGATTTATTTATTTTTTTATTTTTATTTCAAATTTTCAAGGTATCACATTCTACCCTCCTTAAAGAATGCTTCGTCCTCGAAGCATAAACTAAGATGAGAATTAAGTATGAAGATGAAGTATTACAAGTTTATAAGATGTTACATCCTGCTCCCCTAAAAGAAAGGTTACGTCCTCGTAACCCAATATTTACCTTAGTTGAACAGTTCAGGATACCGTTTACGCATATCCTCTTCTGTCTTCCATGTTGCATTCTCGGTCAAATGGTTTGACCAAAGTACTTTTACCATCTTAACTTTCTTCTTCCTCGTCTCTCGGGTTTTAGTATCAAGGATCTCTACGGGGTTTTCTTCGTAGGATAACGCCTCATCCATTTCAATCACCTAATAATATAAGGGTTAACTTATATTATTTCCAGTTTACTTTGGTTCATGTTAAGTTTAGGGTCTCTTACCTCAGGATTGATGATATGTGACTCATCTCGAACGTACTTCTTTAATTGTGATACGTGAAAGACGTTATGCACCTAGCACAAGTCTGTATGTTAAGGATGAAATCTAATCGTTGAAAAGTATCTTGTTTTAAAATCGTTTGTTACCTTATCCAACTCTGTGGGTAGAGCTAATCGATATGCCACTTTTCCCACCTTTTCTAGGATGTTGTAGGGTCCGATGAACCTCGGACTTAGTTTCCCTTTCTTCCCGAACCTCATTACTCCCCTTGTAGGAGAGACTTTGAGTAGAACTTTCTCCCCTATCTCGAATTCAGCTGGCTTCCTCCCAAGATCGGCATATGATTTATGTCGGTCTTGGCAGGGCCGGTCCCGAGAAAACGGAGGCCCTGTGCAACAATAAAATTTGGGCCTTTTTTCAAGTTTCACAAGCAAATTGTCTTAAATTTTTCAGTTTAAAATTAGGGTGAAAACATGAATGACTATACTAGTGTATAATTATAATTTATCGACCTTGAGTTACCTAATAATATATTTATACCACTTTCTTAAATTTTAATTGCTAAACACATTTACACATTTATTATAAGTTCAAATAATAGTTTATTTTAAGTGCAAAAAATCAACAAATAACCACAATGCAACAATTCAACAAACATCAAATCAGAAAATAAACAATTACAACAATTCAACAATTCAACAAACAATTCATCAATTCAATAATTCAAAAATTCACAAGAATTAGCAACTAAATGAATAAAAAAATGAAAATGAATGGACTGACAGAACTCGGGGATGTGGGAGCGTGGTGGACTAGTGGCCGGTGGGCAGCTACGCTGTGGCGAACTGGCCGCCTAGCGGTGTGCAAAGTGCGGATTGCAGTGGACTATTGGTGCCTGACTGCCTGGACGCTGGACGGCTGGACGCGGGTGGTTTTGTGCCTGGAGGACTGCCGACGGCGTGCGGAGCAGCGGAGCCTGCAGAGGAGTGGTTGTGGGGAGTCGGGAGAACCGGAGAAGGCCGAAGGGAGTTAACGCAGGAGGCGTAAGGACTGGGGAAGTGGGGAGTCGGGAGTCGGGAGTTAACACAAGCGATGTTGGGCTAAACGCTAATGGGAGTAATGGGCTAGGTCTAATACTAAATTTTTATTTTTTTTGGGCCCTTCAAAAAACCGGGCCCTGTGCGGTTGCACTGGGCAGACATGCCCTGGGCCGGCCCTGGGTCTTGGGCAGCCTTCATCCTCTCTTGGATGACTTTGACTTTCTCTATGGTATCTTGCAAGTATTGTGGTCCTAGAATCACCTGATCCACAATGTCACCCCAACATAAGGGACTTCTACACTTTTGACCGTATAGAGCTTCGTACGGGGCCATTCCGATGCTAGCATTGTAGCACCGTCCCCAAGCATATTTACTTTAAGTAAATTATGTAATAAACCTTGAAGGATGATTTATGAATTTGCGTAATTGTAAATTTTTATTATTTCTTTTACGTGAATAGTAGATTGCATGTGGAGCCCACGCCGGGACCGGGGGGCCGCCCGATAATTCTCGAACCACATATTATATTCATCTTGGTCTAGATGACATCTATATGGAGGTGGATATTTTATTTGGGCCATAAGAAAGGCATGGAGTTGACCGGTTGGTCAAACGGAGCCCAATTACCGGTATTGGTGATTTAGCGGATAACAGCCCGAAATGAGTTTCGGAGATTCCTAAATTAATGTTGGGGAATGTACATCTATTCTAAAGGCCCATAATTATTAGGAACGCGTGATATATTTTATTTGGTCCGATAAAATAAAATATGATTAAAACGGGCCGAAAAATACAACTTTCGTGGCCGATTGTACACACCGGGATATAATGGGATGACCTCCCACATAAGTGGGGGCCACCCCACGTTTTATGGGTGCTGATTGAGCAGATAATAGAGGAAGGACGGATGATTGAAATGGGAAGTCTCCATTGAGACAAAACCCACACCCCTCATGTCATATCCCTCACAATATTATTGTGTTGGTTGAGAAGGACCTCTCCCCTACCCTTTTGCAATCATTTCGGCCAGCACAAGGGAGATAAGCTCCAGGGAAAAAGCTCTCAAAGTTCTGGAGCTGAAGAAACTAAGAGGAGAGAAAGATCCAAGAAGAAAAGCTAGGAATTGAGGTAAGAATCCAACTAGTATGCATTTACTAGTTTTATCATGTATGATTTGTAAGAAATCATATGGTGGATTAAACCATGAGTTCTACACGTTTAAAAGTGTAGAATATTGTTATAAAGTGGTGTTAATTAACTTAGAAGGGTTGGTGAATCGATAGGAGTCGAAATCGCCGGAAACCGCCACTTCAAAGGAGCTGTTCGTAGTTGCAGACTACGAAAACCGCCCGGCTTTCGTGAAAGCCACCCGGCTTTGGCCCAGACATCCAGTTTTTCACTTTCAATCGGCCTAGAACGGGGATTGATCGAGGGGCTTAACAAAGGCAACTATTGTAGCACATCACGAGGTGAGGATGACTGACTAATTTCTTATAATTAGTGAGTTAATTTCATAAGATTGCCTAAGGTAATTAAATGGGATTTTCATGGATTATTAATGATTAATAATGCCTAAATGAAAATAATATTGATATGAGTAAGTGAAGCATGATATACAAATTTAGAATAGTTGTGTATGATTATGTGAAATGAATGGAACGACATGTTAATGGAATTACTACGATGACATTGTGATAAAATATACATTACTTCATGTACGAAATTCATGAATGGATTAAAGTGATATTTTTGATATTGGGATCAAACTATACTTGGGTTGGAAAATCAATTGAAATGAAATGTCAATTGGAAAATAGGAACTTGGCACGTTCTAAGATTATCCAACTAGTTTCAAAATACTGGTCGGGGAAATTAATATAAATAAATGATGAAATAAATCCTAAGAGGTAGGATTGTGAATAGATATGCCTTAAGTAGTCTCAAGAGATACTTTAAGGTTGAATTGTATGAACACTAAGGTGTGCTAGGGGTAGGCCTAAAGGCTACCCAAGGGAATTGATTCTAGGCATAGGATTTGCTTGAGAATTGGATTATGAAAATAATTAGAGTTGGACTCTAGGATTGCATGGAAACGTAGTTGGGCCGAGCCCTTGCCATTTATGTGATCTCCGTGGAAACGTTGTTGGGCCGAGCCCTTGCCATACAATTTGGATGTGTTATATTGAGTTAGAGGATTGTATAGAAATGTAGTTGGACCGAGCCCTTGCTATACAATTGGGGCTCGATGGGACCCCACGGGGTTATCGTGACTTGCGGTCACGGGGCAATGGAAATGATGAATTCTAAATGAATATGGGCCCACGGGCCGACTACTTGACTTCATATAAAGTAAGTATGATTTAAATAGCAAAAAGGGGTAACCGAGGGTTATGGCCTAGAATGTAATATCACCCTGAATTGAGGGTCTTAGAAATTTAAACATTGATTATACTTAGTATAGTTGCTATTGTACTTGTCAAACGTTTCCAAGTACTGACCTCCCCTTCACGGGGGAGGCCACCTCACAGTTTCAGGTAGAACTTGAAGGTTGCTGCCACCGCCCGTTGCTTCGGGAGGATCTAAGGGAGAAGACGTGGTTCGTGCTTCTTCCGTTTCTGTTTTGGGAAAACAATTTAAAACAATGCTCATGGATAATATTTTCTGAATGATTACTTTGGGGGCTTGCATGCCTAATTATGCCAAGTGTGGCTTGAACACTTGTATCAACTGTTTCCGCTGCTTTAATAAATGTTTTACATTATGTTTGTTTATGGATGTACTATGTGTGAATGGTATTCAAAACGCCTTGTATAGTATGGATGAGTTGGACTGCGGTTGACTATTCGTACTGTACGGCGGGTTGTTGACGTGTCCGGCTAGGTCCGGGGCGTGACAATTTAATTGGTATAAGAGACTTAGTCCGT